ACAGCAGAGTGCTACTGTCTCTTTCCATATGCCACTGTTAGTCCCTTTCATTGAGCTCTTTGTTTGTGTTTGCATGCATGTACTTGTATTTGTGTGTAAGGGTGTGTATGGGTGTGCTCTTAACAGCTAATCAGGCAGCAGAGGCAGCTATTGTCAACATTTTGGAGAAAACTTTTAAACTGCATTATTCACCTTTTTTCCTTTGAGTGAATGATTTACTAATCCATGGCGCCTGGATCTTTCTGAGGTGGATTTTGTGCTGTGGTTGGCGACTACATGGCGTCAGGTGGAGCAGAGGCAGACGATGGAGGAATTCCATTGGACATTGACAGCATGCACATGCTCCTCCAAGGTCAGTCTATTCTTGTAGATTTATAGCTGTTATGACCTGTGATGTGCTGTACTGGGGAGTCACAGTGATTGGCCAACTACTATCTGGGAACAGCTATTTATCAAATATTTATTATGTTTAGGGAGAATACAGGTGGAAAAGGTTCTTGTGGAGAATATATTTTCCACTATTTTGCATCAATCTTAAATGTTTATGAATTCATAACCCATAAAAGTGGCTAAAAAGACAGATAACTGTCTGGATTTTTTAAAAGTTAAAGGGAGTTTATTGCCCAGAAATTAAGTTATATAATATGAAGTAAGTGAACTGTTCAGTCATCAAAACTGAATGCTGTCTTGGTGATTTGATAGAGGTCAGAGGAGTTGTCACGACCAGATATAATGCTGTTGTTAGTTTTATTTGTGTAGGGATTACATCTTAGACATTTTAAAATCTGTGTCATCAATCACACACAGAAGAGAGCCTTCATGGTGTCCCAGATTACAGAACATTAGGTTATTAAATTACATTTCTGTTAAGATGATCAGACCTATTTCTATAAAACAAACATATCTCACCAAAACAAGTAAGTGTGTAAAAAAAAAAGGGCAATTCACATGGTCACAACATGATTCGAAACTTAAGATTAATATTAAAATGTTATTAAATAAATCATAAAATTCATTAAACATTAAATCATGTTCTCGTTATCTGATTACCTGTAAACTTCTGCAGAATCTCATGTTCTCGTTATCTGATTACCTGTAAACTTCTGCAGAATCTCCATGATTGTAAATTGACCTTTGAAAACATATATGAAGTTATCATTAATGTGGTGACGCCTCTTTCTGTTGTTTGTATTGGGCATGTCAGATGAACTGGGCTGAGCCAAGAGAATAAAAAAATGGAGTTTCCTGCCTTGGCAGGCTCTTAAACAAACAGCACAGCCAGTGAGTCGTTTTAACAGCCAAATCTGATACCCAGATGTGTGAGTTCATAGCAGTGACTGTCCTTTATTTACTACAATCTGAATCATAGAATAGTCTCTACAGCTCATTTATAATCACAGCTATGTTTTGTTCATGGGAAAGAAAGTCAGATGTGTAATTTTGCAGCTTCTGTTTAATACAGAAAGTAGTGGTTAAAGGTTTATGGAGGTGACACGGGAAGAATTATGCTATTATGAGCAAGGTTGGATGTTAAAATTCTATGAACAACTGTAATTAAAATATTAAATTATTTTGAGTGAACAACAAATTATTTGCTGCGATGCTCCACTTCCCCCGTTATACTATTCATACTTTCATTTTGGCATTTCAATACAGTAGGATCTGGCTGAGCACCTCTTAAGATCCATGTTTGCCCAGCAACCCCTCACTGTGTGTGCATATGTCTGTGTGAGAGATCATTATGGCTGTGTGTGTCTCTGTGTATATTTTCTGTGTGTATGAACCTCAGTATCTGTGTCTGTCACTGTCTTGGAAGCCATCCTGACTTGTAGCCAGATCTCAGCCTGTAGCCTTACTTTAGCTTAAAGAGGAAGCCTTTCACTCCGGAGTTATCCAGTGGTCAGAAAGTCCTTTGGTGCTCTGGTGTCAGTGAGTAGTTTATGACTTGCCTACAGCTCAGATCAGGGTACTCTCTGCTGTTATGAAATGTCTGGATTAGTATGGACTTTATAGCAACATGTTCCACAAAGGGAGAGTCAGAATAGCCAGAACACTTTGGAGTAGGTTGCTAAAATGTAATTAATAGCAATCTTCCTGCCTGCCCTATCAAAGAAATCCTCTAAGTGTGCATCATGTAGCATTATGGCTGTAAAATGTGTTTTATTTTAATTTTTCACTCTGCAAAAGATGATTAGATACATGTGACTAAACCCATATGAGAACCATTAAATGGTCTGTTTGATGATATAAGATACATATGTATAGAAATTAGAATTTGTGTCTTTGTTTCTCTAACAGTGGAGCATGAACAGATTCAGAAAAGGACTTTTACCAACTGGATAAATGCTCAACTTGCTAAGGTATGTTGACATAACATGTCTAGTTGTGATGCTTTTTAGACAGATCAATATATTTTATGATTGATTGATTGATTGATTGATTGATTCTTTCAAACATGCAGAACAGAACAATGAACAAATGACAATAACACACATGATTACACATATCCAACCAATGCTAATTCAAAATCAGTTTGCTTACACCTATTACATGTTTGAATGGAGTAGGAAGAAGTCAAACTTATCCAGTCCTACCCCATGACATCATATTATACAAAATTTATGCAACATTGGCTGCAAGCAATATCACTACATAAATAAAACAGATTGTTCTTATTCTTGCATATATCTTGTATAACACATACATTTATATTTATATTTAAACTCCTTAATTCTGGTACTATTTTTCATGTCCACAGTTAAGTTATTCCATAGTTTGACCCCACTTATAGAAATACAAAATCTTTTTTTGGTTGTTCGTATAGCATGAACTTTTAAATTTAAATGTCCCCTTAAGTTATATCCCCCTTCCCTTTCACCAAATAGCTTTTGGATTCCACCAGGCAATAAATTGTTCCTGGCCTTATACATAAACACAGCAGTCTTATATCCCACTAAATCAAAGAATTTTAACAATTTAGACTGTATGAAAACTACATTTGTGTGATCCCTATACCCCATCTTGTGCACAACTCTTATCGCTCTCTTCTGTAATATGTACAATGGTTGAAGTGAACTCCTGTAAGTGTTTCCCCAGTTTTCAACGCCATACTCCAAATATGGCAAAATCAATGAACAATACAAAATCCGCAATGCTTTGACGTCCAGCATATGTCTAACCCTTGCCAATATCGATATATTTTTAGCTATTTTATGCTGAACATGTCTAATATGAGATTTCCAGGATAATCTGTCATCAACCATTACCCCCAGAAATTTAATTTCATATACTCGTTCAATGTTGGCACCCCCAATTCTCAATTGAAGTTCATTATGTGGTCTACGGTTCCCAAATACCATATATTTAGTTGTCTCTAAATTCAAAGATAGTAAATTATTATCACACCATTTCTTTATCTTCCCAAATTCCTCTGAAACCCTTACAGAGAGTTGCTGTAAGTTTTCATCTGATGCCCAAATGGTAGTATCATCAGCAAACAAAACCATTTTAACAGTTTCAGAAACCTTACATATATCATTGATGTATAATATAAATAGTTTAGGTCCCAACACAGAACCCTGAGGCACTCCACACACAATGTTCAGCTCACTTGATTGATATTCACCCAACCTCACAAATTGACGCCTCTGTGTCAAATAACTTCTGATCCATTTCCCAACCAATCCTCTGATCCCATATTTCTCCAACTTATCCATTAATAGTTCATGATTAACTGTATCAAAAGCTTTTTTTATTTGGCAAGGGAACAAGAGATTGTAGACAGCACATTTTAATTTAAAATTATGAATGCATATATTTTCCAAGGTAAAACTCGCAGAATAATTGTAATACTTTACTGAAATGACCAATCAAAGCAGTATTTCTGCTGTGGGAAGCGTCAAAGAGCTGATGTTTTAACAAAATAAAGGCCTGGTGCTTACATTATTAAGTATATTGGAGAGAGACATGAGGCTTGATGCAGGACAGGGAGTGATGAGAGAATGTACAAACTTTCAAGGCTGCAAGTATATATATATATGTCATTTGCACCATCATCTTATATTTAAAAAGAATTCTTTTACATGTATTGCATTGCTTCATTTTCATAGAATTTGAATTTTTCAGGTAAGTTTCAGTACAAGTTTGAGATTTATCTTCTATATATTCCAAGACCTACCTTTAATTTATATGTCTCGAGGAAGACCTGATCAAAAGGGCTGAGTTGTATTTTGCTCAGAATTTTATCAACATTTCAATAGATAGTATTTGTCAAAAAATGAGCTTTATGGTATAAAAATGTTCTATCTAAGTCCTGAAAAGTGACACGATGGCTGTAAATCATATGAAGGAAGCTGTGGAGTGTGACATACTGACTCACTTCTCAGCCAGTGAAATGCAGTGAAGCAGCTCAGCCTGGACCTTGAGCTGCCTATGGTGCTTGCCTGGATATAAATAGTGCTTCAGTGGAGCAGAGCAGCACGTAATCTGAACCCTGCCACCTCGTCATAGCTTCATGTCCATATGACTGCACTCTAACACTAAAGTCACTCGTTCACAACTTTCCATCTGTTACACCAGTCTGAGTCCCCTGAGAACCCTCAAGAGAAGATATTTTATGTCTAGGGGGAAACACTGACAGTTGTGACTTGGCCTAAAGCCCTGGCTCATAAACCTAGTGTTTTGAATGAACCCATGAGAGTTTAAGTTTTGGCTGAAAGACTCTGAACTTTTGGATTATGGGATGTATTTGTCAGGGTGCTATATAAGTAATTTTGAAATTGTGTAATTGTATAATAAATGTTGTTATACAGTATTTTTATAAATACAATGAAAGCATGAGCCTGGGTCAAGTTGACTGAAAACCTTATATTATGCAAGTGGTAGTACTGTCTCAAGTGTTTCCATAATGTGGAACACATTTCTTTTAAACCCGGTGCTTCCTGTTGCACTGCAGATTTTTTAGGTTTCCACTTTGGGTTACAGAAGGGTAAACACTTGAGAAGTTATTTTTCCCCTCAGTTCTTACTCCATCAACGTATGACCTGAGGAGGCCCCAAACAGTTTCCTGTTTTGTAAAAAATGATGCAGCAAATTTCCAACTAAATATGACACAGTGACCGTGGGGTTATTTACACACAGCTGTCAGCTAATTTGTCATTTGTTTGTTTGTTTGTAGGTCCCAAAAGACTGTGGTGTGATGATAAATTGATCTAAATGTCGTTATGCACATACCATAATTGACAATATACTGTATTTGTGTGGGTGCTTTCATGGTAAAAACAACTTAGATGCTGCTGTATACTTTATGTATAATGAGAAAATGTGTTGTGCATATGCCTTCATCTGCTGTGATTCAAAAGAGATGTAAAAAGTCTTTTAAAAATAAAACATTAGGCTATGTGTAAAGATGATTACATTTTGGTACTGAGTCAAACTTAATGTACGTCACAGGTGAAAATGGTAAAATCAGTGATAAATGATAGATTTTGCATTATTCTAATGATTCTTCCTTAGATATATTGTGCAGCTGCTGGATATATAAATTGTGTGTTGTTACAGAGATGCCCTCCCTCATTTGTGTCAGACCTGTTTTCTGACCTCAGACATGGGTCACAGCTGCTTGACCTGCTGGAGGTGATGAGTGGCCAACCTATGGTGAGCTTCAACAATGTGTCTGATATCAGCGAGTTGAACAGATTCCAAATTCCTTTAAGAGGCCGATAATCATAATAAAGCTGATGATATAATTTGTCCCTTTAGAAAAGACAAAAGGGCCACGGGCTTTTCCAACAGAGAGCCGACATTGAGACAGCACTCAGTTTTCTTAAGAAGAAATCTGTAAGTTTTTTTATCTGTAGGTCCACACAAAAACGTAGCATCTGAACCTGTAGTGTATTTATTATTAGGATTTGTTGTTGGTTGGTGTAGATCAAACTGGTGAACATAAACATCCCAGACATCATAGATGGACGGTCCTCAATCATTCTTGGCCTCGTATGGACAATCATTCTCCACTGTCATGTGAGTACCAATAGTAAACAACTAAATCCACTATACATTAACCTACAGCTGCTGCTGCTAATGTGACAAACTAAGTAAGAGACATAAGAAAAGAAGCAGAAACAAAAACAGCAGCAGCCGCTTGAAGCCTGCGCTGATTTGAAATTTTGATCTTATTTCAGACTTATATAAAGATACTGGTAATTTGATACACAGTGTATTGTTATACAAAGTATATTGTTATATTGTTTATCTTAGATTGAGGAGCTGGCCAGCACTCTCTCCTTCAGTTCTCGCCATTCCTCGTTTGACTCTTTGACCAGTCTGGACTCCTGGTCTGGCAGCCCCGTCCCATCTAGTCCAGTCCCCCTGGGTCAGACACCTCCCCTCCACAGACACTTCAGGATATCTGCCAAGAAGGCCCTGCTCATGTGGGTCAGGGACCAGTGCCAAAGGTGTTTTTTTTTAACCTTTTATTTTAATGTTTTAAACACTGCCATTAAAACGAAAAACAAATGTCTCTTCTATCCTTTATTATTTGATTTTCATTCTGTCTGCCCGATTCTTTCTAGGGTTGGTAGCTCTGTCAGTGTGAAGGACTTTAAATCGAGCTGGAGAAGTGGCGAGGCCTTCTTGGTCGTCCTGTGTTCTCTCAGACCCCAGCTGGTTGATCTCTCACTGGTGCAGTCCAGAAGCAACCAGGAGAACCTGGAAGAAGCTTTTCACCTGGCTGAGAGGGAACTCCACATCCCTCGCCTGTTGGAGCCCCAGGGTGAGGCTGATGAGATTTTCATGGTGTTTCATTATAACCTCTATTAGAATACCAAACTGCTGATACCTGTCATTCTTAAAATGAATACCAGGACACTTATGACCTTTTCAGACCTTAAAGTCTTGCGGATTCATTGCAGCATTTAAAATGATCTTTGTCTTTCTATTAGGCATAACTGCTATGCTGCTATTTCCTTTTACTTTCTTTTACCTCAGATGTTGATGTTAAAGACCCTGATGAGAAGTCAATAATGACATACGTGGCCCAGTTTCTACAGTACTCCAATGACATGCCAGCACCTGATGACCATCTGCAGGTTTGCAATCAAACCCTTATTTGTAATCACTGTTTCATATTACTTGTAAAACACAACAGGGATTTATTTTTTAGAATAACACATAGCATTGAATTCTTTTTGTGTTGTTTTACTGGTAATTTATGTGTGTTTTGCCTAACAGACTACTTTACAGGGTAATCTGTTTTCCAGGTGGAGACTAGCTCCTTCTTATTCTTTCTTATTTTTACACCATCAAATATGCTGCATGTAAATTACACTACAAGTATAGCAGTACACTTCCACTTGGGTGTTTTACTACTCTGCTGCTGCTTCCCTGTCTGATTTTAAACCCACAATCTCCTGCGTGAAACTGAAGGGTGTGAACTATCTGACCTGTTCCCGCAACTCCTTTTTCATGTTCTCTTCTGGTGGTGGTGGCGGCTTAGCTGTTTCCTCTGGATCAACCCCCCTGCTCCTCACCTGTGAATTTGTCTGCTCACGTTACTCCAGCAATTGCTGTGTCACCGTCACGCCAGGTAGCTATGTTACACACCAAGCAATGCCGTTTTTCAGTTAATATTTGTCAGCTTCCATAAGTATTTCTCTCACTTGGTAATTTGCATTAATTGTGCACATTTTTATTGCCAGACAGTACAGTTACATGTGATCGGTGGTATTCCTGTAGGGAACTTTTCTGATTGTTGAATTTGAAAAACAGTTTCCAGGTGTCTATAATCATTGTTCTAACAGAGCTGAATAATACTTGACTTTAATGTTAGCTCTGTATGCATATGGCACATACAGTATTTCTTGCATTTTTCTAGTAACTGTGCAGCTCTAACATTGTTTTTCACCTCAGTTAAAAATCTTTTGGCATTAACATGTATTTATTGACAGTTTTGATTTTGGTCTCGCTTTGGTTCAGGTCTCTCCAAATGTGCGAGCGCAAGAGATGACAAGCTGGCTGCAGCGTGCCTATCAGGAGCTGTCAGATGCATGGCTGGCTACAGAGGAATCAAGCTATGCAGAAAAATACCAAGTAAGCCAAAGCACAAGAAGTGAAAGAAGAAATCACTGACTGGTGTTTAGGTGTTTGTAGAGTGACAGAGCTGTGTGTGTGATTCACTAGGTATTTCAGAACCTTGCTGGCTCCTTCAATGAGCAAAGGAGACCAGTGATGACCCACCTTGCAACCATAAGACACCGCCCTGAGCTGAGTCGAGAGCAGCACGCTCTCAGGACAGCGTGGGATTGCCTGGAAGAGGAGGTGAGCAACGCCACTGTGGACAATAAGCAGCAGAGTCACATGGTGCCCTCAGCAAGGTTTCAGTCATCAAGTGTTGTGTTCTTTATGTTTGTGAATTTGTAAGGACATTATTTATCATTATGGAAGATGGAATTAGTGAGGTGAAATGGGGAAAGCTTTTGCCCTAACAGTGCTTTTAGTCTAAAAGTGGCTCTTGCTGATTCACTTCCTTTCCTCTCCAGATAAATAAATGAAAAATGCCTACAGAGCATTCACTGCACAGCATTACCAGACCAGGTTTTGTGCTTATGCCAGGTTGTGTATGTGTGTCTCCAGCTGCAGAGATGTAAAACAGAGCTGGACCTGAGTCTTCCCCCTCCTCTGGACATAGTGGCTGTGTGGCTGCAGCGTGCAGAGGCAGCACTAGCAGAAGACGGAGGAAGGGGGAAAGACCATGCAGATGCTGCTAAAGAAGCAAGAGCTCAACATGATACCCTGAAGGTCATTTTTATTTCGAAGCTGCAGGACAAATTTGATCTGTCCTGTTCTAAACAATATACATCTTCTGAAGCCCTGAAACAACCCTTTATTTAAGCAGTGCCTATATAGACTGTGGAACAAGGATATCTATTATTATTATTATGATGATCTTGTGTCCTGTTTTTTTTTTTTTCAGACTTTAATTCAGGAGATGGGCCACCATGTCCAAACCCTTGATGCCTACCACAACATGGACAATACAGGGAATGTAGTAGTTCCCCCTGAAAAGTTTGATGAGATAAAAAGACGGTACATGACCTAATTGTTCACAGCTAGAAATCTTAAAATCACTGATATTAAAGGAACCTACAGTGTCTACTGTAATTTTGTGCCAATAACATCACTGTATAATGAGTAAATAATTTTTTATTTGAAAACAGTGTAACCCATATCCAAGTGTCAGCAAAGTATAAAGAAATCAAGCTGGAATATCAGGAATCCTGTCACAATGTACTGGACCTCCTGGGTCAGATCAGTGCTAAGGTCCAGACCTGGAAAGCTCCTTGCAGATCAAAGGAGGCCGTACATGGGCTTCTGCAGGACTGGAACGTAAGTGTATTGCATATCTGAAAGAACACCAGTTACAAAAATGTAGTACTGTTAGCTGCAATAATGTGAGCTAATAGCGAAGGTATAATAAACTGAAGCCAGTAATTTCTGTAAAATACTGACAATATAAACATGAGCAAGCCATATATGAACAAATGTTCCATGGATATAGTGATTTATACTCTTTAATTTGCTCTAGTTAAAATTAGTTTGACCTAATACTTTCTTCTGGCAAAATATACCTCTGAAAAACTGGCAAAAGTTTTTATTTATTTATTTATTGTCTAGGAAACAGTGGAGCACCAAGGCATGCTTTTGATTCTGATGGAAGCTCTCCAAAACCTGAAGGAGAAGGCAAATGCTTACACCAGCACAGCAGCACTAAGTATGGGCTATATGTGTATCTGTGTAAGCACAAAATCCTAGCACAATCTTTGATATGTCAGAAACTCTGTAGATAATACATTTCTTTAAGATTTTTTAACAGGTAAAACTTTAAGATACAGACTCTCTTTACGTCCCAGGTGAAGATTCCCAGCTTGTTCTTCGTCAGGTGAAGGAAGCAGAAAGTGAAGTTGAACTGGCCACACAGACTGTGATGACTGTGAGAGGGATGATGGAGAGAATGGTGTCTGCATGGGAGACTTACAGCAAGTGCCTTACCTCTCTACAGACATGGCTCGAACAGACTACGCGGTCTCAAACCCAGTCTGCTGCGGTGTGGACTCAGCTAATCTCTATGATTCTCACTATAAAGTCCAGTATTTGCAGTGGAACTGTCTAGCTGTAAAAATGGCATTGTCTCTTGTTTTGGTTGCTGCAGGAAATAAGTGAAAGGACATCATGTCAGGCTCAGCTAAATGAGGTGGGGAACTTTCTTATTGAGGTCACAGAAACTTCAACCAGCTGTAGCCTGGCTGAACAACTCCGCAAGGTCAACATGCAGTGGGCTGAATATATGAAGAGGATAAAGTTTGTAAGTTCACAAAGGGGTCACTAAGACTGAACGAATGTATAGCTTTTTAAATGTTCATAATTTACAGATATAATCTCAGCCTAATCTCAACAGTATTTAAATAGTGATAAAGGTTATATACTTGTTTCCAGTGTTATTTCATTTTGCAAGAGACAAAAATAAATTTGATGTACTGTAATGTAACAGACATAAGGAAAACTTAGAAAGACTTACACACATCAATAAGGTTGTTAGTCATGAAGTATGTTTGTTTAAGGAATTACCATCAGGGCCTAGTGTTGGCCCCCCATGTCTTCAGATGGTGCATTCACTGACCCAGGAGGCCAGCTGGCTACTCAGGCAACCACTGGAGGTGGCCTCAGTCCCACTGAAGGCTAACAGGCAGAAACTACAGGTTGCCAGAGTTACATATTAACAGATAGATGGGTAGATAAAAATCTGCAGCATAACAGACAAGATTTTTTGAATTTTTTCATGCTTGAGCTAGTCTTGTTTTTGCTTCTACCTTTCCTTCCCAGCTACTGAGAAAAAAAATGGCAGATATGGACCTTTCATGTCTCAGTCCATCTCCAGACTTTCAAACAAGCCACATAGAGAACTTCCAGCACACTCTCCCACAGGTAAAAACTCAATAACTCACTGTGAAGCAGTTCAACAAACCTCATTTTCTTTCTAGTATTTATTAAACACCTGCACAGGTGAATAGTCTGTAAATCCAGGGCTGTCCAACCATTCAAAAACTAGAAAGAAAAACTGTATTATTGGTGTCATTTCCTGTGTTGCAGTATGATAAACCAAGGGTTCAGTAATACAGTAATTGCCTCTATAATATATATGACAGATGCTGGTGGAAGCAGAGAGGACGTGTGGGGAGCTGCAGCGGGCTGCGTCCAGACTAGAGGGTCATCTGGCTGAGATGGACCGCTGGAGCACAGATGCCCTGGACTGTTTCCAGCACCTAAAGGAGAAAGAGCACAGAGGACGCTCTGCACCGGAACCCAGAGTCAGCAAATAAAAACTTTGTACACCTTCTAATTAGTCATTTTATTTATGCTCCACTGATAAAAGATCCAGAGCACAAGCAATCTGGGAGCATTGTTTACATGCAGATTGCAAATGATGGTAGTGTTGCACTTCACAAATGATTCCTGCACGCCTCTTGATTCATGGGTCTAAAGTATAGTGTTTATTTTGATGAGGGAATAATGTCAAAATTAGCCAAGTTCTCCCTTTTTTAATTTTCTTTTGTACCAGTCTTATGTGCTTATTGTTATGTGTGGGTACTGATGAAGCGTCACACCTTTTTGTTGGACAGCAGCATATACATGCAAACTGGGTTTCAGTATCTTTGGCTGGTCACACAGGCCATTGGGGCGCTCAGGCATGAGTGGGTATAATTTTAGTGGAGGGCATAAATGTTTCCTGTAAAGTTGTAAAACTATGTTAATGTTTTGGGTCTTTAACGTTAAACAGCACAGCAAAGATATCCCAACATAGGCAATATAATCTTTTCCAGGGACTGATCTCTCGAGGCTTGCAGCTGGAGAACCAGGTTGTAACTGGGGAACAGGGTCTGCAGGACCTTGTGGCACGAGTACAGAAAACGTCTCCGCTGTGTCACCTGAGTACCTCTGGCATGCAGGACAGGATCTCAGAGGCACTGTCCCTTTGCCAGGTGAGTTACATTCATTTATTTTTGTGATCCCCCTCAGTTCCTCAACAATTATTTATATTCATGTAATTTGTATGTTTTGAATTTTTTAGGAGATTCTTGGAATGTTTAGTTCCCTTGGGTTTAAGCGGCATGTGGGCGAACCAGTCTATCAGACACCGAGACAGCCAGAGGCAGGGTTATTTGTCATGGCCAGAACCAAACATGTAGACCAGATTGGGAATGTTACACTGGAAACCCAGGACCCAATTCAACCCTCACCCCGGATTTCATCTCATATTCCTCAGCAAAGGACAAGATGTGTACAGGCCTTGCCTGAAACCCGGCACATGAACACACAGGATGAAACAGCCACTGTTATACCCTGTGTTGAAATCCAAATGCTGCCTCAGCCTTTAAGGGAATCAGTACCTCTTATTCACCCAATACTGACCCCAACTCCTGTTGGGCAAATGTCTCAACAAAGACCAGTTGTGTCTAAACATAAAACAAGTCCATTCACAGAGGAAAAGGAAAGCTCATCCCCCTCACAAACTTACCTATCTAAATTCAGAACAAGAGAGCAACCCACTGCTCCACAGAGTAATAAAACATCTCCATTACCACCGGCTGTGGTCCACAGTGAAGTTCATTCAAAAGCCCAGTCAATGGCGAAGAGCAGGCTGGAGAGGGTCAGGTTTCGTCTGCAAGGACGCATCCAACAAGCCATCAGGTTATTTGGTGGCAAAGAGATTTCTGAGTCACAAGCCAAGAAGAAACAGGTACAGTTTTAAACATCTAATGATGGAGAATAAGAAGGATATCACTCACCATATGTTTTCTAAATTTAGAAAAACACATGAGCACATCAATTTTAAATGGTAACTTTGTTTTAGATTTCTATATCAGTGTCTTACTTGAAGATTTTTTGTATTTCTTGTTAAATGTGAGACCTTCTGAAGTGCCTTTAAAGCCGAACCTTGGCCCTATACCGACTTGTTGCTTATTAAATTCTTAAAGCCAGAGCTTGGCCACGGGTTCCCACTCATCCTGGAAAACCTTAACATTTTCAGAGCAGTCTTACAGTTCTAGAAAAGTCGTGGAAAATGAAAGAAATAGTAAAATGCGTTGATAAAAATAAACTTTATGACATTCTTGTGTTTTCCATTTGCTGAGAGGGAGCTGTCAGTCCTGAAGCATGTAGCTACTGTATGTTCAGTGAACAAATGAAGTTAGAATTGGTAGAGGAGAGCACTGAAAGGCCCCACAAAGTTGTGGCACTTTGAATGCACCCCAAATCACCTGAGGTTGGAGGGGACAGGGTGCGCCCGCAAAAAAGAATGAATTCCCAGGTGGAATATATTGTGACCACCAGCAAAAAGTAAGTTTATTTTTCTTCATATGCAAAAAATAAATGTCTATTAATGAGCTTTACTGCGGGATAAGCTTTCTTTTTTTTTCCCAGCGAGCGTTAGTCCTGCAACAACAATATATCGGTAACGTTGAGATGGCTAGCTGGATAACTACTGTGTGTGTGTTTGGTTAGATTGGTTGTTTGATTGTTGATCGGCTTGTTTTGCCCCCTAATGTTCCATAGCTGTGATTTGAACAGTGTTCGCTGAGCCGTGTGTGTTTTCAGTGTGTGCGCACCTGTGCGTAATTTTAAGTCGGGTGTCTTGATAACATTTATTGTGGCATAAACTCTATATCCATAATGCAGAGGATTCATAGTGTAGCACAGAGTGTGTCATTAGCCTTCTGTTGCAGGATGTCTGCAGCTCACAGGTGACTATTGGAGATAAACTTTATGTTTTTCTGATGACGCCACTTAATCACCAGTTAAGAGGAAAGTTCTTGTTGGATGCACTCATTTCTGTGGCAGACATTTTAGTTAACGCTGTCAGCTTGGTTGCTGAAAAAAAGTAGGGTATTAACTTTGTGTTTTCATGAACATAATAGAGTTCACAGATCTGAGACTGTTTCAAACATTTGAGCCTACTTGTTAATCAAGTCATAGTTGAACAAGTTGATTTTTAAGATACACAGTCTTATTGTGGTCCAGATGGAAAAATGGACTGAAATCACAGTTTCATCTGTCTTTATAGATCCAAATAAAGGTTTCATAAATCTTAAAGTGTGTTTTACACTTTAATATGTAAATACACAAATGGAGAACCAATTGTTATATTGTAAAACAATGTAATTTAAGCCTCCCTTTCCTTTTAACTGCTGAAGCAGCTCTTGCAAACTTCAGCATCATGGTTGTACTTTTTGCATTTTTAAGATCAAGCATCTTAGCGAACATGTTTCTGTGGATCTAGGCTGACTCAGTATCTTCATGTAATCCCAGACTGACTCCATGATGATCAGGGCTCTGTGGGGTCAGACCATGTGCTGCAGGACTTGTTCTTCTTGTCTCTGAAGATGATTTTTGTTTTTATGACTTTGACTGTATGTTGAGACTCATTGTACTGTAGCATTCAAAGTACCTAAGGCTTTTGCACTATGTGTGTATACATATAGTTAGTGTAGAGAGTGGTGCCATCTGGCATACTAGTCTAATGTTGCTGAAAATGTTTTAGAAAATAATGTTGAAAAGAGTGGGAACCCTGTTTAAGACTTGCTTTAAATGCCGTATCATCCAGGCTTTTGGAATCCTCTTTTAATTTCAGAATTGCGGGCGCATTTTTTAAAAGATCTGCAGCGTTTTGCTTTGTGTTGCTACTTCTTTTGTTTGTCTGTTTGTCCAGCTAAATGCCTTTTTGTGCAGAGAGCTTTAAAGATTCTGCAGACTGCTGTCCTTGAAGAGTTCCTGGATGCAGTGGAAGGTTTTGGGGCCTTCTGCTCTGGGCCCCAGCTCCAGGACTTGATGCTCCTCTCTGACTCAGTCAGAAAGCAGTGGGAGGTATGACAGGGACTGGATGCAGAGTTTATAAAAAAAACTGATGCACCCACTGAATCTGAGACAGGTTTTAAAACTAATATAAAGGATTTAACCATATATCAAATGAATTCTAATACACACATCTTTGTTTTACTCGTCTTTTCATCCAACTGAAACAAATATCTATACCATAATATTGATTCTACTAAGTGAAGCATCATAGGAATCATTTTGGGTTCAGTTCCTTTGCCACTGAAAACTTACACTTCTTTTGTAATGAGGTGGTGTTCCAAATTAATCCAGTATTTTACAGACATTCAAATTGTGACAACTAACATTTGTCTTAAAAAAAGTGTTTGTTTGTCTCACACTCAGGATGTACACAGAGAAATGGCTGCCTTTGTTCCCATATTAGAGTTTAAACTCAAAGAAGGGGAACAGTCATTGTGTGCTGTGCAATGTGTAACATATACTAACACTCATCATAAGCCTACTGGCCAGACTGACCATGACTTGCAGCAGAAAGAGGTACTTTCATCCTTTTGTGACATGGTATTAATACACATTTAACTGTGCTGTGTGATCAGATAGCCAGAAAGAAAGACACTTGATGTTGGGTTCTCAGAGGTTCATATTCCCCCCCAGGCTGCTACTGAGGGAGCTGCATCTATTGAGGAACATGTCAAATCACTCCAAGAGCTGCGTGAAACCCTGACACCATGTAAATCATCCTGCCTTGCAACAGACCAGCTGAAGGAGTCAGAGATAAATGTAATTGTTGTCAGGGGTGACACTGTGGAGACCAGGCAGGATGCAGAGTGGACCATTATCCCAGAGACAGTTGCCCCACCTGAGGAAGAACACCCCCTTGACCAGGAAGTACTAAAAAGGTATGGGTTTGGTTAGACCTCACATTTCTGTTGTCTGAAGACCTGACAGCCTGCGAAATTCAGTTTCAACTCAGACCTGACAGATCAGCACAGCACTTGTGAGATAAACTTGATGACAGATTTTGCAGCAGGCTCCGTCCCCATTTAGCCTTTGAATATCCGATAATGTTGAAACAATTTGTCAACCTTTTACTGTAGGTACAGAACGTCCTGCTTGGTGTTTCAGTCCCAACTACAGAAGAACAAGCAACATTTGGAGCAGGTTATTCCACATCCAGTCACCATCTCTACCCTGTTGAACCAAAAGAAGCAGCTACAGGCAAGTTGAAACTTATGTTACTTCACCCAATTGTAATCATATTCAGCCATAATTTAATACCAGTACAAATGCTCTTAAAATGAACCTGCACTGTAGTGCAATTTAACAACATAGACAGATTTAAGGGTTCAGTCTGAAACATCCATGCATTATATATCATTTTCTGAATACATCACAGTGTTCAGACTTTTTAGCTTACAGTCTGATCGCTTTGCAAACGTGTCTTCTTAACAGACTTTAAAACAGGAAACAGAGGCACTATGGTTTGAGTTTGAGCTCCAGTATGCCCAGTTATCCCAGTCCTCCCATCCGATGACTAGGGAAGTTGAAAGAGCCAGGGAGCAGCTGAGTCAGGGTTGGAGAGGCCAACAAATGTGTCTACAGAGCAGGTACAGTGCACCTCTGAGATCAAGGAAAGTGCTGACTAATCGCTTAAGACATGCACATTTGTGCTTACCCTTTTTTGTGATCTTTCAAAAAAGGTTAATTTACCAGTGCCACACCCTTTTTTGTGATCTTTCATTCAAAAAAGGTTAATTTACCAGTGCCAATCATAACATTTTAACAGACAGGTACAGTACCTGGCCACAAAACAAGACTATTGTTTGTTTTAATCATTAACCCTATCAGATATATTGCATAATTGTGTCAACTTTTGAATTTCTGTGGGTGCTTTAAGCACTTCTCGTCCATTTTGGCTCAAGAGTTGAGTCTCAAACTTTATTCCTGCCCATGGAAACAACTTCAAGGTCCAATTAGCAGATGTTCCAGAGGTTTCAGATATATTACACAGACTTCATCAGCATATGGAGTTAACAAATAACCAGATTTTAGTACTACACAAAGCAAATTAATCTATTTAATTGGTTTTACTTTGATTTATGCCAGGATGACATCTCTACAGAGTACTGTTGACCTGATGAAGTCTGCACATGATCACATGGAATTGATCACACAGAAACTAGACAGGATCATTAGAGAGTCTGTGGACATCTCCTCCTTCACTCTGGCTGATCCTGGACTGGTATCTGACTTAAAGGTACATCTTTGCTTTATTCAGACAATTCATCATGTAATTCTGTTAGGAAATATGCAAACAGTATTATTAATCCATGAAGTGTTCCCCAGGAAATGGATGACAAACTCCAGTCTGAAATGAAAAAGTTATCAGAACAAAGCAGTGAAAATGAAATACAACAAACAGAAGTCACATCCCCTTCATCTCGCCACCAAGCTCTCCACAGCAGTGTCAATCATCTCAAACAGCTCAGAGGGAAGCTGGAGAAGGTTCACTCAGCTGCCCAGGCTCTGGATCGATTCCTGGCCACAGTGAGGGAAGTCAGGGCAGAGATCCCAACCCTGCTGTCAAGCCAGGACCCCAGTGGGCAGCAAAATGAGGCAGTGTGGGAGCAGGAGAGGCATTCTTGGCAGGCAGCAATGCAGCAGAGGTTGCAGACTGCTGCGGAACAATCTGGTGGTGTTGACAGCAGCTTAAGGGCAGCAGGGTTGACTCTGACCATGGATGGTGCAACTGTGATGTGCCAGGATGTTGTGACATCATTGTCCAAGGATATTGTGGATGTAGAGGTAAAGCTGATAAAAAGCAGGAAGAGGGGGAGCCAAGACAAGTCAGATCCAGTGGTAAAGGAGCAAATGCAGGGGAATGAAGAGTCGAATCCTGTGGGGGTACATCAGACAAAGACTGTGGACACTTCACCACAGCAGGGGGGAGCACAGGAGCAGGAGCATCCCCCTCCAAGCACAGCAGAAGAGAAGTCAAGGTTGGAGGCCAAAAGGAGTAGGCAGGGGGGAGAGGAGGACACAAAGACACAAAGGGTGGAGGAGCACAAATCTGAAACATGGAGATCTGAAGGGGGTGTCAAGGACCAGAGGAGCAGTGAGCTTAAGAAAGGGGGAAAGGAGAAGGAGAGCTTGGTCCAGAGGAGAGATGCCTTGTTAGGAGCACTGAGGGAGATCAGAGCAGCAGCTGAGCAGCTGGCACTGCAGGAGCCCACCCTGCCTGCTCTGCAGCACAGGTACAACACTGGTGTGGGTCAGAAACCTTTACTCTTTTGTTGTAACCTGGGTGAAATACCAAACTGAGTTTTACTACATCAGGACAACGAACACTATGTTAAGTAGCTACAATTACATTTAGATCTTTTCCTATGTATGTGTAAACCTTCTGATATTATGCATCATGAACAAACATCTAATGAACAATGAACACGATACTGTATATATGTATATTAGTCTCTAATGATATTATTAAGTTTGGAAAAACAAAACTGGTCATGTACACAACTGAAACAACAGTAATTTATACAGACATGCAGAACATTGCCCAGTTGGTATTCTGTGCATGGTTTAACATACACTGACTTTCTCAGAAGCCTCCATTCCTCCATAACCTTTGTTGTCCCACTGTCCATTGATGACCCAGACACTACTTGTCATCCTCTCCAGGACTCATGTTTTGACAGAGCTGAAAAGTCATCTTACTGTTCTCCTCTCTGAGAAGCAGCTTGTACAAGATGCATTTTCATCAGGAATCCCTGATGTAGGTCAGACCAGAGAGGTGGAGGATCTCTGGGAGGAGACGACACGAACTGTAACTGAACGGTAAAGGCAAGAGGAGCGGTGATGAGAACAGTGTCTGATTATTACTGTTTCTGTCTTTTGTGATCTACTGTTATGCCGTTCTAGTTGTGTTACTTTGCTGAGTTTAGTCTGTACATGTGTTATGGATCACAAACAGACTGGACCAGTGTTGTGGCCTGACTCAGCTGCTGAAAAGATTTCAGAGCCTTCGTGGTGAACTGAGTGGGACACTGCAGAGAGCAGAAAGTATCATCAGTGAACAAGCCTCCTACGTGGGGAAAGACAACCTGCAGAGACTACACACTAAAGTACATCACACTGTTTGGCTTGAGTAATGAATGCACCTACTTTTGGAATCTGACTCTTTTGTCAGCAGTATGACACTGAAAACAAACATCACAGTCGCTCCAGTGCAGACCTTTGGCTTTGCTTCTTTGTGCTGACACCGAATGTGTTTGTATATTTACTGATATTGTTTGTGTGTATAGATCCAGGAAACCAAAGCAGAGCTGAGTGGCCTTGGGGACCGCATAGAAGATGTGCGAAATGTCTGCAGGCAGCTTCACACCCACCTACGTCACCGCCCAGAACACACTATCGTCCCGTTTGAGAGCGAAGCTGATGCTCTCATGGACCAATGGCTGGATGTGAGTTTAGCCACTTTAAACTCTCAACTCACTATTAATTACACTACCCTTTTATTCTGTTATTTTTTCTCACTTTTAAAGACATTATTTAGCATTTTTATGGCTGTTAAATGTTTTGCAAGAAGAGTCCCTTTATTTTTATGTCTTTGCACGTTTTAACTACTGTCTTTATGCTGCCACTTAATTTCAAGTGGATGTACACAAACCAAAATATATTAATTTTAGGGCTGAGTTGAGTTGAGTGCTAGAGTTAATTGCAGCTCCAATTCATGCAGATATCAGAAAGAACAGATTCCCACCTTGAAAACCTACACCTTGGCCTGACTCTGTGGGAAGGAGTCCTGCAGCTGGGGGCAGAGGTGGAGAGCTGGACCACCAGTCAACTAGCAGTGTTTGCTCAGTCTCTGTCCTTCCAGACCGAGGATGGTATCAAAACATTGCAGGTAAAACCGAGTCCCTGTTCAGCATTCTGTTATACACACTGTTGTATGCTTAGTCAAATGAGCTCCACATTTCCACAGTTACTGTACTTAGAATAATGACACCCCCCTCACTGTCTCTAGAATGACATTGTGGCCCAGGAGGAGCGTATGGATCATTTTCACCAAAGAGCCGCTGAGATTCAGTCACTGCTTCACAGCACAGAGCTACCTGTGGAGCTGCAGGTACAGCATGTAACTCTAGTTAATGTTTTATTCAGGATGAAACCCAACTGCTAGGATGGGTAGCAGGACTGATAGATACCACTACTACATAGTGATATTTTTCAATCTGGATATATGTTTGCATGTTTGTCAGCAAGACATAATCATGAAGCTACAGAATTGTGAAGGTCTCTTGTCTTTTGTTTGGTTTAGGTGGTTGAGATCCAGATGAGGAAGAAGATGGAGCAGCTGAAGGAGCTTGTTTCTGAGGCTGAGGATTACAGGCAGAAGGTGGCTGCAAAGGGACAAATCACTGTCAGGATGGCTGAGTGCTTCAACTCCCTCCAGAAGATTCAGGACTCCCTAGTCACTCTCAGTGGGTCAGATATTGCAACAGTCCTCGCAAAACTTAAGGTAAGTTCTAAGATGAAGTTAGAGAAAAATGTGTGCATATATTTGCAATAATTATGCTCTAATTTTACCATTATATTCTACACAGGTCAATGTTAAATACATATACAAGATGTTCAGAAGAGTTTTATGGGTGTAAACACATGACATCTATGTAGGGCAACCTAAATTATGAAGTGGTGTCTCCTGCAACTTGCTTCTTGTCCCGCTTCATGTATGTGCTGTACATCGGCTCTTCACTATTTTGTCTTCCTCTTCAGGAACTGTGTTGGCAGCTCCAGATACAGGATGAGCAGGCAGGGAGTTTGCTGGAAGAACTGCGTGTTATGGCCACCGTAGCCCGTCCCAAAAAACTCCCAAGGATGGGAGTCGGCTACAGGAGAAAGTCAGAAACACCCATCAGCTATTCTCCGAGACGGAAGAACAGACTGCGAGGAATATCCAGGATCTTGACAGGTAACAGTGTGTTTATTAGTTTAAGGTTCATGTTTACATGTGTACAGATTTACACATCTGATTTATGTCTCCTCCAACATGGCATGCAACACTGACACATTACACTGAGGGTGTAAGAGAGCAGCTGGACAGGTATTTCTGGAATTTGCACAAATGATTTCTGTTTCTTTGTCTAAAGGTTGCCTGATCACTTAACTGTGTTTTCTCAAAGGCTGTCATCAGGAGATCTGTGTAAAGAAACAAAGCAGGCAAAACCTGAACTGAACTTAGAGTAGCAAATCAGTCTGAGCATGTCAGAAGAACATTGTTTTCAGTAAAGTATGCAGGAGGTGCAGTTTATTATACTGCAGACCCTGTTTTTAACAAGAATAGATATGTAGTGCCAAAATTTACCACATTATATTTAGAGGTATCTCTATCTTTTTGTCCTCCCCAGCTACATACATGAGAGGGTCAAAATATTAGGAACACCTCTAAATATAATGTAGTCCAGTACAAAATCACCTTTAACTAACTCAATAATAAACGTATAATTGAATATATATATATATAT